ACATTTTAAAAGAAAAATTATCACCAGCCAGTAATGCAATGTATAAAAATAGGATAAAAGTCAAATCGTGTTCATAGAACACAATTGAATAGTAAAAGGAAACTAATTTAATATGATAAATTCTAATTCAAATATCACGAATTCGTAACTAATGTTACTAATATTATAAATGTGAATGTTTGTATGCATGGATAGATATTTGTTAGACGGTTTCTTAAAAACGGTTGGATGGATCTCGCTGAAATTTCGCTTAGATGTAGAACATAGTTGAACACATAGGCTACTAATTATGTTTTCTTTTAATTCGTAGACGTACTCGCGGGCGATAACTACTAATAATACAAATGGTATTCGCCTACCAGACCGCTACTACTATAAAGATATCAATAGGGATTTGAAGCCGATTCACGTTATGAGATCAAAGGGATATTACTGGCAACACTTACGATTAGTGCAAACAATAAAGCAAGCCAGCAATGCACGGCATAGTTATAATACAATATAAAGGTGTCGATACACCATTGAGATGGTTTTATACATACTAGTGGTCGCTAATTGGTCGAAATTTGACAATCTTACTCATATTATAAATACGAATGTTTGGATAGATTGATGTTAGTTTGAAGGTATCTCCGGAAAAGCTCAACGGATCTTGCAAAAATTTGGCATATATGTTGAACACAGTCTGGAAGAATTATGTTATTATTATTTTTTTTAATTCCGCGCGGAAGAATTCGCGGACGACAGCTAATCATTCATAAGTTATCCTCTTCTTCAAATTAACTTCAACTGTGACAAACGAGGTTATCTATTTTCGTAATTTCTTTGAAAAGTGATACAAAGCTTTCGTTTTACGTATTAATATAATGTTTATTGCGTATTATTATTGACAAATCTCTAGTGTGCCGCCACCCTAATATTCGCTTCAAGAATTTGTTTGCATTATATTATTATTAATATTTCAAATAGTAGATATAGGTATTCTTTTTAGAACACATTCTTAGCATATTTTTGTATTCAGTATGTTACTTCGATACGGCTAAAAGCATACATAAAACTCAAGGTTTACAGTCATATTAAAGGGATCAATATAAATAAAAAAACATCTATTAAATAAAAACTAATACATACATTTGTTTAGCAATATAGAGACTAAAATGAACTGTGTTTACGAGCAAGTGTTTGTTCAAGTGAAAATTTGTATGTAATTACATTGTTGTACGAAAATATAAAGTTTTATTATAATTAACCTTGGATTCGTGAACGACATGGTGTCCTGTTTCTCCTTCGTGACTATTTGTTTGATTTGGGTAAGTGATGTGTTTTTTTTTATCGATATTTATAAGTCGATAAGTGCAAATAGAGTTGATAAAGTTAAAAACCTTTTATCGAGTTATTAATAATCAAATAATCTTTTATGTTTACTTTAAATATTGATTTACTTTTTAAGATCACAACTTATATTTAATCGGTATTATAAACATCTGTAGGTATCTTAATTTTTTTTTTATAAATTAAACGCCTTAGTTTTGTCTTTAAAACAAATTTACTAACCATGTATCTCTGAGTTCAAAATACCCGTTGAAAACATATTGTTAACTCTGTTTTATTAATCACGACAGACAGGGACGACTATATATTTTGTATACAGATTTTGATGTTGGTAACCCACAGTTATTCAATTATCAAATTGATTAATGGAAACACATTAGTACCAATTAAGGTTTTTAATCAATTTAGTAAAATAACCATTAACGCTGCATATAATTAACTAACTCTTGTTAATTTACCTTTGTCTTTTTATTGTGTGTTTATAAATTTGAAATACACGTTAATAATTAATTGGTTAATTAAAAATTTACACTGTTTTCAAACAGTATCACTATTAAATTATGTCAGTTTTTATAAATGAGCTTCCAAATTGATGAACTCCGTTATCAAATCCATTAATAACTGGAATCCCGGCTTCTTACGCCCAGTTTCTAAAAAGTCAGTCATTGTAAATTTCAGTAAAATTTTGATTTGCTTTGGCAATGCTAAGGCGCTATTTTGCATTTGACTTGACTTAAAGTCCTATGTTCTCGTAGTGGGTCAGAGGGCGTCCACAGTGCGCCGCAAGTTCGCTCCATCTTGGGCTCTGCGTTTAGTCTCGGGCCATGTCAGCCCGATTGCCTTCATGTCGGCATTTTGCATTTGACTAATCTGAAAGTCAACTTAAGTAAAGTAAACACTCACGTATGTATATTCGTCCGGTGGCGGCACCGACTTGTTTCGCGCCTATCGGGGGCCATTCGTCAGGGTGAGTGGGACTGGTACGTGAGTTTTTAGCCGTTATACAAGTTTATTATAATGTCTCACGAAAATTTGAATAGTTAAATCTGAAAGTTATAACAAACTTGTTTGCTCATTAAAACTACTGGAGAGAAATTATTTCCTACATATTTTTCCTTCTCTTTCATTAACAAGACTATTCTAGTTTTCAAAACGTATTCTAAATGTTTGAATAAGGCGTTCTACAGATAATGATCAACGCGTACCGCCTTTAAAATGATAACCCAAACCCAATTCCAATTGGCCGGCGACAGGTAATTCGTTAACTCACACTTAATCCTAATTAATAGTCTATTAGTAGACGTTTTCAATTACCACTTACTTTGATTTATTCGTCTATATCTACGCTAACAATTTCCTGATTAATGGTTTTACAGATAATTTTAATCAGATTTTAATAATATGAAATACCATTACTAGTAGTGATTCTTAAGATAAAAGTCAAACGTAATTATCAAGATGAAATTGTTTCTTTTTTCGGTAAAGTTTTAACAGAGAAATAAAAAGGTCGATGACCTGACCATCAGCCATCGTGTTTTTTGACGTGGGGAAATGCCTTACGCATACCATCCTTGCGGGGACAAAGTTGGTAATGTCGGGCTTGCACCGACTAAAACCCCACGGCGGTCGCCACCGGCGCTCACGAGGGTTGCGGGATCTCCGTTCGGAACACGTCATCATCCACGTAGACGTCTCCAAAAAGGGGCTCGGAGCCTACCCTATGTTAAGGGTGTCTAGGCCATAGTCAAGCACGCTGGCTAAATGTGGATTGGTCGACTTAACATATATCTTTGAATTTCTTCAAAAAATAAAAAAGTATGGTCGCAAATTCTTATAGTTATAAATGAATAGAAAAAGTAATCGGTAGTCTTAACAATGACAGAGCTTGCGTAAAATGTGACCAAATAAATCTAGTAAAAGAATGGCATTGCGTAATAAATTAAGAGCAAACATATTGACATTCTATAAACTTATAAGAAACTCGCCCACATGGAAATAAACAATAAAGTAACATATCAATCCCATTAAGATTGCTTAATAAATTAATAGCAATAGATTTAATAACGCAAAAGACAAGCGACACGCCGCAGACGATGTACAATTGGATAATATTCATATGTCATTAAACCTAAATAAAAGATGCCGAAGCTTTTACGGTGGTCCTTAAGAATGACATTAAGAATGACAAAGTTGCCCGCAAACTTTGTGAAGACAAAGACGAGATAATAAAATTGCTATTAAATTGGACCTTTAATGTATTATAACCATTAACATGACATTAATGTTAGTAAATTACACAACTCATTTGCAAGTAAGGCGCCATCGCATATACCATATTGAACATTTGTTTCAAATTACAATATGATTACTTTTTATCATGGATTTTGACGTGGGACTTTAAGTTGTAAGACATTTTATGTCTTTATCAAATGACACGCATTCACCAGAAGATCATAACGACAGGATTCAATTAAAAAGAAAAACAATTTTAGTTTTATGGGTCTCCCAAAGAAAATTCCGAGAAGTATAAACAATTTTTTAATTTAATTGCAAATGATAGTATGAATCCAAAAAAACACTCTGATGAAGTTAAAATATAGGATTTTTATAAAATTTTCTGTCAATATGTGGTCAATAAAATCGTAAATTTTATTAGCAGTAACAAATGTATGGGACAGTAAGCTGCTTGAACATTTACATGCGGCGACTAAATACATGTTGAGAGATATGAAAATGGTTATTGATACAATAAAAATGCGGGGGAGTAGCAGTAACAGAAACGTATGTAAATGCTTTTAACTTTTAACACGATAAAATGTAAATAAGAGGATTTGCAGAGACGAAGAAAACAATAATTATGTTTCAATTTTAATTGGAAATTCCAAAAAAAAAATACTTTGACAAATGTATGGTCCTTTATAAATATCATACTGAGATAATTGCTATGGCGCCAAGAACGTAATCATTCCATGAATAAGCAAAAATATTAATAATCTCTAAAAAATCGCTAGTTTAACTCTTGACATTTTCTTGGACAATCTCTGGAGGGTTTTTTTTGAGCCGTACTGCACTATGTTGTAGATGAGAGCTAAAGTACGATGTTTATTTTTGATAATCAATGATATATTTCTAGCTTAGTACAATAACAGTTATAAGTTTTGAGAAGTTCACCAAACAATGGTTGTACGGTGCCATTAATACGAAGCATTGTGTTCGGTTGTCGGCGGTTGGCATCAATAGCGTCGCCGGCCGTACCATAAAGACGTCTCTGCTATCTAATTGGTGCTGTGACTTCGCTTCTATGTATCTTATTTATGTTGCCGTTTGATAAATGTCCCCATTTGACTTCGGTCAAGCCTGTTTCGAAAGCGGCACACATATTTTCAAATTTGTTTGGCTCTTTAAGCTATATTTACGATTTACTTCGAACTTTACAAATCGAATGAGGTTTTTAGTCAAGCTATTCACTTTGAATTTCATATCATTGGTATCTAAGTAAGGGAAAGATTCACAGGACACATCTTGATCAAGAAATCAATCTATTATTTTGACAAACACACTATTTTTAATAAAATGCGTAATATGTATTGTCTTTACAGTCAATCTACGTTTATGTATTTAATTTACTTCTTTGCTCAATGAAATGTGTGTTGAAATTTTGTCTACAGGCGGTGGGTCGGGAGTCGGTGCTGGCGCTGGCAGCCAACCGCGAGCTACGGTGCGGCCGGCGGCTGGTGTCGGGGCTGTTCACGCGGCCGAGGCTACCACTCGGATACTCGCATGTCGCTACCGTGCCGCGCGGTGCCTGTCGCCTCAACGTCTCCGAGATACTGCCCAGTGACAATTATATTGGTACCCAGATTGACAGTTGATTTTGTTCTATGCCCATATCACAACTGTTCATGGCTAAAATAGGTTTCCGTTTATTTCAAAGATACTGACAATTCATTTGTAATTTTTCATCATCGTCGACGTTTATGTTTTAGCTATATCTCAGTATATTTTGTACTTAATAGATTTATATCAGCACGGATGTAAGTTAAACGCAGCAAACTACTATCGCCGCTATTCATAGTGAACCGGTTTCAAAAGATTATCTCTGCAAGTGGATCGATGAATCCTTGCTGACATAAGCTAGCTATTTTACTCGGCGCTCATTCATTAATTCACTATATTGAATGATCCTTTGATGAAGGCAAATGATCCGCAAACATGAGGCTCGTCGTACTTATCAATCAGTCGTAGATAGAATGACATCGTAAATCATTCAGCGACGTCTACTATGGCAGCGCCCACGTTGTTCTGTTGCTACTCAATGTCATATATTCTATACAATTGTGCTGAATTGGTTTTCATTATATAACTGTAAGTCTTCGAAGCCTACCTTTCTTCGTTCATTCTGTTAAAAATCTCTTATGAACTCTTTTCCATAACTCTTTAGTTATCTGAATAAATGGGGCTATACTTATTTGTTTATTGTTTTTTCAGCTTTGAAAATGACAAATGGATCGTATGTAATTAACGGAGAGTTCGCCATTAGCACGCCGGGTACATACGATGCAGTCGGCGCTCGGTTCATATATTCAAGAGTACGAGGTCTCGACTCTATCTTTACGCTTGGACCTATCCACCATCCTATTGATATTATGGTAGGTCATAATAATTGATTGACTTTTATTTCTTAGGATAATTGTTTTTTTTTTAATAATTTCATAATTTACACTGACGCATCATTTTTTCTTGCTTATGTACCTTACCTATAAAAGGTTTATCAAATTCTAGAAATTTTCGTGTTAATTACTTTATTCTTAAAAATAGTACTTAATGATAAACAGATTGGGGAAGGGAAAAAATATTTCGGTAATTATCTGATGTTCGGTAGTCTGAATTAACAACTTCGTATGTATTGTTTTATTTAGATTAAATATTTTCAGGTTTTATACACAGTTCCAAATCCTAATATCAAATACGAATATATAACGGATTCTCTACCAGGAGACGTAAAGACAGAAGAACCAACGACTAAATTGAGTTCTATCGATACTCAAGGCACGGCAACTGCAAAACATACCAGACGACATCACGGTTATGATAATTATCCCAAATTTATTGTTGATAACATGCATCCGGATGTCATTGGCTTATCGAAAGAAAATACAATAGCGAAAAAAGGAGTAGATGAAAATGTAGTTGGAACAAGAAGATTTGTGTGGAAGATTCTGTCATATACTCATTGTACTAGAACTTGTGGTGGTGGAATTCAGGTGAGTTTTGAAGAACTACAATATGATTGAACTGTAAGAGTTTGTACTCTTAATTATTTTAGGTACTGACTTAATATTTTGTGCCAGGTGGGCAAATATCGCTGTGTAGAAGAAACCGCGGAAGGAGTGGATAGAGAGATATCACCAGTCCATTGCTCTGGATCTGCCCCATCAGGAAAAAGACGTCGTTGTGGCATGATCTCTTGCCCGCCGAGGTGGAGGGCCGCTGCTTGGTCTCCGTGTCCAACATGTGGGCCGGCTAATCGAACTAGAATCGTTGGATGCGTGCAAGATCATTCGAGAGGAATTACAAAGGTCAACCTTATTGCTGATGAGCAATTTATTGCAAATAGATGAAATCTTAATTTTTACTTCTTTTTATCTTTAGGTCAATGATGATAAATGTTCTCTTGAAAAACCTATAACGAGTGAAAAATGCAATGTGCCGGATTGTCCAAAATATAGTACTCTTGAATCGAAACATGTTATACGACTGAACGAGGACACAGATACGTTCCGAGAAGGTCCCGTTTATACGATTTCAGTGAACAACTCCGAGACCGATCTCGGACCCGAGTATAGCTTAAGTGCTTCTGCTGGATGGCTTTCCTCTGACTGGTCACAGGTACTTTTCCCTTAATTTATTTAATTTACTGTGATTTACTTTAATTCAAATTTAAATTAACTGGTCATCACTGTTGCGTTTCAAATGCAACTTACAACCAAAGTACGTATTCACAATTTTTGGTAATCTTGCTTAAGTCTTAAAATTCGAAAAAGATAAAAACTGTTTTAGTGCGTTGGATGGTGCGTCGGTGGTGGCTTACAGACCCGCAGTGTGCGTTGCAGCGACCCATCTGGTTGTTCACCACAAATATCACCAGATGTAAGAAGAAATTGCACTGCGAAAGTCACGTGTGTCCCTCATGAGGGACATTGGTTTACAGGTATTTTTATTGGTCCCAGAAATCACATTGAGCATCTTTATGGATTATTGTTAATCCCTAAAATCTTTTTAATTCTATAATGTTTAGGAGAATGGTCCTCTTGCTCGGCTCCGTGTGGGGGCAAACAGATCCGTGGCGTGCTCTGCATCGGTGAAACTGGCCGGCACCTGCGAGATTCGGCTTGCAAAGATCCAAAGCCGGCGAACGAACGCGACTGTGGCGACTGCGCGCCCATCTGGTACTACAGCGAATGGAGTAAGGTCAGCATACATGTATACTTACTCCAATTACTCGTAGTATTACCATTAAATATAGTCGATATTTGATTGTAATTAATTTGTTAGGTTCTAAATCTTATTGGTAATATCAGTGCTTGTTAATTGAAGTGCTGCGAAACTCAAGGTTAAATATTCCTGTATTTCTAGTAATAATTTGAAATCCTTAATTGATTGTAAAGTTTCAATGAATTTGTTATATCGGATAATGAAACCTTGTACGAGACAATGAACTCTCGGGCGCCGGTAACAAGTTTGTGTCTACTAAGTAATAGATACATTATGCAGCCTCCATTAGTAGATAAGGTAACGGGAGGTGCAAGATCTCTAAACTGGTCACTACTAACCATTATGCAGATATACCCATCATGTATCATTATATACTATTATTTTATGTTTCCTTTATTTATGCGAATATTATTTGAATCATTAGTAGTAGTTTAATATAAAGCTTTAGATTTCAGCGTTTTTTAAATTTTAATGCACCTTAAACGAGTCTCGCAACTATGTTATTTGTACGAAGATGAATTGGACATTCAGTAATTATGCAATATACTCATTAATATTTAATCGCTAGCTATAAACTTGTTTATATAAATAGAAGTCAAGAGCGTATATCATAAGGACTAAGTTAACGGACAAATTACTTAATTATAATTTTCTAATAATTTAATGTAATTAATAAACAAATAAGTAAGTACGATAATATCTTAATTTTATGGCGACTCGGTATATCGTGTGAAAGCCTGCACAAAAATGGGAACCAGTTCAAAATTGGTATCGGGAGAGCGAAATACAATAAAAACTTACACAGGCCATGTCTATCCACGCGTTTTTCTTCACCTACATGGGACTACCTGGCACCTGCTCAAATTGCTATTACTACTGCTCTTTTAATAATACTATTACACTACATTAACCCCAGTTTACCAAGAGTCCCCATAACATTAGAAATTGAATATCTTGAATTCACCTGATTCTTCTTGTAACTTTCCAATATCGCCACTAGCTCAGTGATTCTCTCCATATCTTGCACCAAGATCTTATTCTTGGAGAAACGAGCGTACCATCTGTTTAATAGCTTGCCGTTCGTTTTTCCCTTGTTTCGTGATTCTATCTCCTTATTGCTGATATAAAAATATTTTACAGTGCGTAGGAAACTGTTCGTTGAAAACGGGAGTCCAGCACAGGTCGGTGGTATGCGCGCGCGGTAGGAACGGCGCCAACGAGGGCGAGTGCACCGCGCCGCGCCCTCCTGCACACCGCCCCTGCGATCCTATATGCCCGGCTGACAGCATAGAGGCAGCTGTACTCACTAGCCGTATGTATATTACCCTTCAACGGTGTTGGCTACTTCAGCAAACCCTTAGTCTAATTATCATGCTAATTAACACTGAGAGGCGACAATAACAAATTAAGGGTTCTGAGTATGTCAGTGAAGTCATAAATTGCATCAAAGACAAGTTCACACTTTTGTTGCAGCTTCTCACAGGGCAGATAAATATACTACAACTACGACCTCCTCCACAACTCAAACAAGTGCTATTGATGGGAACGACGATAAAGGTAGATCATTTAGTTAATATTTAAGCTTAGAATGTTCAAAAATCATCTATAAATGTTGTCCAAAACATTGCACCAAGTTTTCTTTTGAGTCTTATACGATCTTATACTTTGAAAAACTATATTGAAATATTATGAAATGTTTTTTTGCCTTCACAGATTGTATAGACAGGTTGAGCAACTGCGCGCTGGCCGTGCAGGCGCGCCTCTGTCACTATATGTACTATATCAGGAATTGTTGCAACTCCTGCATTAACATAATTGACATACATTGAAGAGTCATCACAAAAATATTTAAACTGATGTAGTTAGTTCAACTCAAAGGTGCGTGGGACTTAAGTATAACTATTTTCCACTACGCGATTAAGTTTGCTGTTTCTGTAAGCAGTCTTATTGGAATCGTTTATTCCTAAAAGAAATCGTAGTCTCGTATGTAATAGCTTAGTGGAAAAAGGGTCTAAAGTATTTTCATCACGTGTAGTGTCATTTCAGATTTTAGTTGGACTATCTGCAATGTTGATAATATTTTATTTCAATATCTATTTTAACTTTTATTATGAAATTGGTGTGATATTTAATTATTTCTCAGAATTGTAAATTATATTTGAGAGATATATTATTTTTTAAAAGATTTATTATTTAAGATAAGTATTAAAAAATTTAAATCCTTTTAGTATATTAAGATTGTAACGTTGCATTGTACTGATTAACTAATGTATATAGGCGACCATAAATAAAAAAAATTAAAATTTTTTCAATATTTTTATTTTCTAATAATATTTTACAAAATATACTAATTTTGTGTTTTTCGATTTACATATGTACATTTATCCGATGTTCCTTCGGTGAAGAAAAACATCGTGATGCAACCTGCACATATTCGAGAAGAAATTCAAAGATATGTGTGAAATCAAACAACCCGTACTAGGCCAACGTGGTTAACTATGCCCTAGTCACCATAAGTTAGGGAAGGCACCGAGCCCCTCAGTGGTTACACATATATTGAGCTGATGATGATACTGATGTAAACGCTTAAATACAACTTGTGATGAAACAAGTGGATACAAAGCTTATAAAAATAATGTTTGCAAAACAATCATACCTTGTGCAGTAGAAAAGTTTGCCAAGACAATATTAAAATCGCACCACAGAATAACAACAGAGTAACACTTATGACAAATGACGGTCACTAAATTGCAGGGAATGTTATTGATTCTATGGCACCTTAAACCAAAATTATTTTTATTCTTATTCTAAGAGACACTACCAGTGGTTCGTTCAAGTTAAACCTTCCGCTATAATTTAATAAAAGATAATATCTTGAACTTACCCTAAGCTCTAACTAAAAAATGACTCGAATAAAACAGTTAGACACTTGTTAAAATCCTTTGACGACCCTAGATAGAATGTGTTTTGAATTTCAACATGATTATAAAAGAGTATGTTTTACCCTTAAATATGTGTCACCTAAACTGCTTACAATGATAGTTAATAATTTGTCAACATCGCATATTAGAAGCCAATGCAAGGTTAATATATTTTAAGCTAAAATGTTATTAAAACATAGTCTAAGTTTTTGCGCATCGTGATCGCACTTCAGATTTGCTCATGAAATACTCATGGGAGAATTCTTCTAACAGTATTTATACAAGAAGATGTCAAAACTCCTATTAAAGTGACTATCGTAAGAATAATCGAAAGATTAGCGTTGTTATTTCCATAAACAACTCTGTATACATCATGGAATGCAAAGCAAAGACTTAAGTAAGCAACAGAAAGTGCTAATGCGCCTAAAACAGAGTGCACTATTTTAATAATATTAATATTGTTACTAAAGTTCATAGAAAATAAGTTTACTATTCCACTGATGAGACTGGCTATCGTGAAAAGCATCGCCACGGTACCTGGAAATAAAAAAAAATAACATTAACACTATAAAAAAAAATATTGAATATAATTTGCTCAAAATTTAAATTGTTCTTTTTTGGGTTAAATACTTCAGTGTATTTTTAAAAACATTTTGAATAAAGTTTTTTTTTTAGAAAGGACAAAGGTTCTCTTTCAGGAAAAAAATTTATACCCAATACTAACTCATCACTTAAGGGGAAGTCATTAAAATTACAAAAACATTTTTCCACAAACACTAACCAAGAATTCCATGAGCTGATCGGAAGTTAGGAACTCCATCGACCAACTTAACAATGCTGCCGGCTATTGCTAGAACTGATCCTAAAATCTGCATCAACCAATGGATCATCTTTTTGTTCTCATAGCTCAATACCTTCGCCCAACTCGCATAAGGATTCATAGAAAGAATAGCTTGGCTCATCAGCAGGATGTACTGAAACATACATTTCAAAACATATTATTGTCTCAAATTTTTCAAAAAGTATGAGAAGGATAGAGTAAGCTAGGGAGGAGTGATGGCGCCTCGTGAAGCGGGTCACTACTTCTTGATGACCATGACCAGTCGGAAAAGACCTCAACGACGAAGAAAAGATAAGATGGAAAGGATGGTTATATGTTTTTGGTTTAGGGAAGTCACGGTGAAAGAACCTAACTGAAGTAATATGACATTTTGCAGATAAAAGCAAGTCTAATATCATCTTCATTGTTAAAATATGTCATATTATTCACTTCACTTTAAATAATTAAAAAATGTCAGAATATCTCCATGTAATTATATTTAAAAAAAAAAAACAAAAAAAAAATATAAAAAAAAATCTAAAAACACTTACCCCAATAACACACAGATATACATGTTGCTCAAATGAACTTCGAATATCAAAGATATTAACAAAGAATATTGCATTAAAAGCAATAGCACCGATTAATATGTGAGTCAATGTGATTATAACACTCATGAATACAACAAACGGTGCCTTCTCATCTACGTTAATCTGAACTACGTTCGTATTCTGACGGTAGTCATTTTGTACCGTCATGATTAATTCGAAGACTTTATTTAACTTAGAAGAATCAATCTGTACTATTCGATGGTATATCAGACACAAGATAAAACTATTGGAAATATCTCGGTCTTATCATTACAGTTTTCTGATGTTATCGTTTGAACCGAAGTTAGATTTTATCAGTTATTACACCCATTTGTCATTTTCTTATGCAACAAATAAAAGTTTTTAAAAAAATATACAGATGAAATCACTTTCTTCATTCCGGAGTCGATATTTTAAAAACATTTCTACTAACTTACTATTATTATGACCATGGTAAAGCATTTTGGTAGGACAGTATGGGGACTTTTCTAGTCTGATTTTACTTTTTAAAATAATTATCACAGATATTTTATATTGAGTGTTATCATAACAAAATATACTTTAGTTAAGTACCTCTCTAAGATATTTTATAAATACAAGCCAAGTTATATTTCTGTTATCGTTCATTATTTCGTAACAAAAGACATTATATGCAATGGACGGAACTGTTGATTCTATCCATTTGAAAGCAGTGGAAACCACAGAAAGTGTTTTCTTACAAACTGTTAGACTAATAATTAATTTTGCTACAAACATTTTAATTTTCACTACTGTTTTTGTGAGTCTTTTGTTTTCATGTAGATCGACAAAATTAACCGTTTTTGATCTCCATATAATTTTATGTGTTTTGGGGGTAAGTTACGTAAGGTTTTTTTTTTTAAATCACATATCGAAATACCTATTGATATAATACTAAAATATGAAAAAAGTGTTATACTTAATTATTGGTACTTTAGCCTATCGAAAAAATTTGGACCGATTTTAATATTAAATATTTTAATGTAAGATTTTTTTATTACCACTAGAGTAGTGGGACAACAATTCTAGTCAATTCAACAATTTTTTTTTTAAATTGGGCTCTTGATGAGGTTAGCTATGGACTTATTGATAAAACTTAAACCTAAAAAAAAAGGATTTTTTCTTGTCTGGACCTAATTTAATTTTTAATTAACTTTTACTTTCAGTATCAATTCTTTATGTGCCAAGGAATTTTGGTACTCTCTGAGTACAATAGTTGGTCTATTTTACTTAAGAGAAGGCATCGCAAACATTTGCACTGGATACTTCAAGTATTGGCCATCATATTGATCATTATTGGTAGTGTTATAATGATAAAGGAAAAACATACAAATTTTAACACGACACATGGTATACTCGGTAAGAAAAATATATTACAGGTGGCATTATTCAAAACTCTGTTATGGTCGTTTTTATGTAACATAACTCTTATGTTATCATTTTTAATTCTTAATATGACAGTTCAGAATTTATGTCACGGCGCGGCCTTTTCTATACTGCCATGAGAATTAAATTTCCGCATTTGCAGTGATTGTTTAATTACAATGAGAGTAACAATTATTTTACATGAATAAAAACATACTAATTTTATATTGACAACTAACGCCATCCATTTTTATAAAAAATACTAGCTGTCCCACGCGACTCCGTCCGCGCGGACTTAATTAAAAACCTATGTGTTCTTCCTGGCTATGTTTGTGCTACATCCATGCCAAATTTCAGCGAAATCCATGCAGCCGTTCCGGAGATACCTTCAAACAAACATCCATCCATCCATCAAAACATTCGCATTTATAATATTAGTTAGATTCTAACGTACTTGTATGTTTTTCCTTCAAACCAGTACAACTAATTCTATACAATTTTCAGCATTATGCGCACTAATACTTTGCATATTAAGTTTTCTGAATGGAGCACTCTTGCATAATGCGCATACGTTCAACTCATCAGAGAAGGTGATTGTCATCAGATATACGCACTACGTCACAAGTATAACTACACTGTTTTGTGCGACTGCCGCCTTGTGCTTTGGTTTTAATGCACATTCCTTCAAGAATTGGATGGCAAATGATAACGCTGTGAAATCTCTCATCATTCTCACTTGGCTGTTCACTCTAGCAGTTTCTATAGACTTCTTTATTTCATTAACTTCAAGACTGAAGAAAATGTTTATGTAAATTAATTAAGATAAAAAATTGAGGACTTCTTAAGTTTTCCAAAGAAAGGTCAGCAGAAGCATCTACTATACATTCGCAGAGAGGGGCTCGGAGCTTGCCCTAAGTTAGGGGTGACTAGGCCATAGTACTTCACAAATATTTTTGAATTTCTTCCCAAATATGTGCAGGTTGCATCACGATGTTTTCCTTCCACCGTAAGAACGTTGGATAAATGTACATATGTAAATCGAAAAACATGTTGGTACATGGCGGGATTCGTACCCTGGAGCTGCAGATTACAAGTCGAGTTTAACGCCTGAGCCACCGACGCTCTCTTAAAAAAAGTGTTATATAAATATTTGAATTACGAAATGAAACAACGAACAGTGTTTAAAGCTTTTTTTATTTTTGTACGTTGTTATATGCATGATTAGTACAGATATATTTAATTAAAAACCGTAAATAAAAACATATTATCCTATTCGAAATTGATTTATTTCATTTTGATATAACACCACTGACTATTGTTGACTATACGCTATGAACAGCCAGTAAATAAATGCACTATTCATGAAACTATTTACAAAATTCTATAATAATATTACAAATTATAGAATAATATAGAAAACAGCGTAAATAAATATGAACACATATTAAAATAGTTTCTAAGAAATACACACCATAATAAAACATATGTTTTTAATTTTACATTAATAAAGAATACTATAATTTTCTATTCTATGTCGCATAGACTAAGATCCTATGAATTACATTCATGCAGTTATACGCGTTACGTATCTTCATTGCGTCTGAAGTTAGTGTATCTTCCTTCTCTTTCATACTTTGGTTCTCGTGTATATCCGTCTTGCTCACTCCGTGTGACGTGCGTTCTATTCTGTGGCAAACTTCAGACACAAAGAAACATTGCTAATATAAAAACTAATAAAAATATTTTATAATACATTTTTAATCTCTTAAAATACAATTTTATTCGAAATTCTTTTTGATAATTGTGATAAAATGAGCTTCTTTACATTATTTAAAAGCGGAATACAATGGATTTTATCGCGTTTATTAATATACTTTTAAACACTACCACTTTTGTTAATTACATTGTAATATTTATCTGACAAATTATGAATTTGATACGTCAAGATATTTTTTCAAATTTGAAAGTCTATAAAGATTTAAACAAATATTGTTTTCTTTATCTTTGTTTTTAAAAATAAACGCAATAAAATGTACACTAGATATATTAAAATACATCCACGTTTAAATTGAAAACGTTTAAACTTATTTTAATATTAGAATTGATTCGAACAGTTTGACAGATCTACTTTATAAATCAACTATAGTCTAGAGATCACGACACTATTCCTAATACCTATTGAAACTAAATGTATAATAAAATCGCATAACATATATTAAAATGCGTAAGCTATTATGAACCTTACTCAATAGCGTTAAGGTTAGAAACAGCGTAATTAAATATTAGGTGTATGGCTGTTTAGATCGACATTTGTTTCATTTAAGGTCCTTCCATATTACCCTATCGTTATGCGTTTACAATAAGGTAAGGACTTACAGAACATAGAGGTTTTACAGAGCCTTAAATGACAAATGCTGCTTTCTCGTGCGTCTAGTTTGGTATTTCACTGATCATGGAACTCACTATGCGTCCATTACATATCACAATACTATGAGTCATAGGTCTAACACCGTGTAGTCGCTTCCTTACTAGCTTTCCACCGCACGCATTACCTGATAAAAATAATGGAAATAATATTATAGATTCTTACTTATAAATATATTCACCAGTGACAAATAAATATAAAAGTATTATATTTAAATTCTACTCTTGATAATATTATATGTTGAGACCAAAAAATTTTTTGACATTGATTTTGAAAATCGAAAAAATATTTTTTTTTGAAACAGCAAAATAACTAGTTATAGGTTAAGTATCAGATTTGTATATCACATAAAAGACAGGAATTCTCTTTATTAATGAGTGATATTTAATTTGTTACCATAATAGTAATATGTCTATCGTCCGTGGCAGGAGTGGCAGCAGTAGTCGGCGTAGTATGGATAATGGCAGAGCCGCGCTTGCACCGCCAGCATGCAGTTACTCAGCTTATCTGCACACGCACCTGCGTAATACACAATTTAAAACATAAACATTTATTAAAAAAAACTAGCTATCGCCCGCGACTCCGCCTACGCGTTCTTCCAAACTTTGTTCTATATGTATGTCAAATTTCATCGAGATCCATTCAGCCGTTCTGGAGATACCTTCAAACAAATCCATCCATCTATCTAAACATTCGCATTTAAAATATTAGTAAGAAGTAATTAAGATATAATGACTACTCTATTCCATTCTATGTGCAATGAGGAGTTGAACTAACCTTGCGCCGGCGATCGTTCTTTGAAGTTCTGTGTGTTATGGCTTTGGTGTCTCGTCACTCTTTGAGGATCTGTAACTAGTGAAATAAGGCATTATATTCTAAATATGAATCAGTAATTGACTTGATTCCATCTACCTACTTTAAGATGTAAAATTTAGATTTTAAGGCTTTCTTTTGGGCGTAAAGTTTATCCAAATTTGGATCTGTAACAGCAACTAAATTTTAAAAAAAATCTGGTCTATAATTAATTGTATAATTTTTAATTTTCAAGCAATTTTAGCAGTAAGATATACATGATAAATTTGAGGGTCCAAAGGGAAGGCCAGAGAAAAGAGATTAAAAGGAAAGAAAAAGTAAATAATACTACAATTTAAAGATAAATGTTACCAGACACAGGCGCGATAACAGCAGGCTTGACTTCAGGCTTGGTGGTACATCGTGGAGGAACGCAGGAGCGGCGCGCTGGCGGCCGTAGCCCGGCGCACGCAGCGTCCCTAGCGGCACCGCTAGCTCCAGCTTCACCGCCACGCAGGCACCATACGGTACGGCTTTGGATGCCTGCCTCACAAGGACCAGAGCACTGCCGGAAAAAGTAGTTATTAAAAAATAAGCTCGACTGACCATACCTTTGGTATTCCGTGAAAGAATACGATTCAACAATTTCATAGTTTCTTTAAGTAACAGTCAAACTATTAGGTTAAGATAATGCTATGGTAAAATTAGGAATATTTATTTATTTGATAGGTATTTTACATTGTGAAAAGATAAAGGTGAGTTGCAATAAACGGATAAGAGGAATACGAACTAGAAACAAAATATTGTTAAGATATAAGTTACTCTAGTACAGTATTGATGAAGTTCATCATATTTTGTGTATCAAGATTCCTCTCAATGCTATAGTTACACATTCTACTATAGAATGAATCAGTATGCAAACATCTGTCCAACATATGTTCTGCACCGAAAAAAACAAAAGCGGAGAAAGTTAAAAGATAATTCAGGTCTCGATTGAAATTCCATAAATGTCTATAGAACATGACGATGTAGATGAAGATTTATAGATGTGTACCGCTGCAGGCTTGTAAAACAAAATGTTGAAGTGCTATATAGTACACGAGTCTGCCTACAAAAAAATATACTACGATGTTACAGCACTCTTGTTAACCGCTACAAAACACAAAATGTGAATGTTTTTTATTAAAGTTAATTTCCTAATAAGATTTTACTTTAGGCCCTTTCCTAACAGTAATCGGAAAACATTTGTACAGAGCTTACGGTTCTTAAAATTTCATCATCAGGTCATATATCGAAACTGTGGGGCTCGAAGCTAACCCTAAGATAACTGTGACTAAGATTTATACTAAGTTCTTAATACATGTTCGTAGCTAAAACAATGTAGGTAATGGATGTATTGCATAATTCATTTCAATTTATATTCCATGATTAAATACAAACAATATATGAGAAGATGAATGTGGACGTAATAAAGTATTTGAATTTAAATAAATAACGTAATTGGTAACAGGTGCGTTGCCTCGTTCGTAAGTATTGTTAAGTGCATTGCATTGACGTATAAGAAACGTTCTAATGGGCCTGGTTTCATCGCCCTCGTGTATTGGACAATTTATATCGATGCTTATTAAACTGGGTCAAGGAAAAGTCCTAATTTGCTGCCTATTTTATCAGATACTAAATATAGTCAGCCTAGTGAACTTTGTTATTGACACTAGGAAAACTTTTTAGAAGAATACTTTTGCTAAAATGAATTGTACTGTTTATAATAATTAATTATTACGAGTATAACATCACTATTACCAAGGCACTATAAATCAAGAAAGTAATTGCAATGTTTTCAATATAGCTATGTCCGAGATCTAACAGTTAATTTAACAAGGAAGAGTTAGAGATTCAGTCTAGGTAAAATCATATATCATACATATGGATAGACAGATAAAGGCAAAATAGTAGCAGTCCTCTGGGTTATGCTGCCAACATGTGACTGAGACAACAACAACCGTCCAGCAGTGAACGTGTTTTAGTGTCCAGACTTTCAAAAATATGAGTAGTATTAATCATGCCGATGCAAACTCCTGGCGATGTTTTATATGCTTACCTCTCCCCAATCACTAAGATACCAAGAGGGCGCACAAGTCCCTCCGCAGGCCCGTTCAGCTTCAGGGCGTGGTGTGCGGCAGGAACCGTCGCGCAGTCTTCTGCCGTTGCCGCCCACGCAGATCACACCGCGCACTTGACGGCCGCCGCAAGCCGCCGAGCATGGTGACCACTCGCCTGCATCATTATGTAATAGTTAAAAGCTATCCTTTGTATACAATTTGCGAGCTTTTAAGCTTACGCTGCGAATAATGTTCGTCTACTTGTTCCTGTTTGGCATAGTTGGTCGCTACATTTTCTCTATATCAAGCTAAACCAGACGAGCTATCAGGATCCTCATTTATAAAAGTCAATTGCTTTATAGTCTTGAGCGGGAATCTGAGTCTAGTTTGTTTTTTGGGAATTTTTACATCATCCCTAGCGATGTTTTCTAGAAGAATAATATTTCACCTCTTTGCAACATCTGAACCAATGTATATTACCAGTAAACCATTGCGCATCACACTGCTTCCTGGGAGTACAGGCTTGTGACGGGTGCGGTGCTCTGTGAGAGGAGCAGCCGGTGGGGTCCGCGCAGCGCACGCCTCGGGACTGCACGCCGCCACCCACGCACCACCCCACACACTATAAAACAAGATAAGTATCAGGCACAGAGTAATACAACAATAGAAAGAGAATGGGATGACGACCTCCGAACTATTATATCGTATCGATCCAAAGTGGGCTTTGGTCTGTGAAGCCACCGAGGCCTCTGAGATTGGAGGTTCCCAGCTATTATAGAAGTAAAGTAATTTAGTTTTGTTTGAGCATGAACCTACAATTCCATAAATTGTATTTGGAAAAACTCGTGTATGTACCTCAGACCATTCAGTGTAAAGCCATCCTCCAGGTGCGCTGTAACTAAATGACGACGACTCCATGGTAGGTGTAACTTCGTTCTCCGTCGCGTTCGCAGCGAGGGATACGACCGGTCCCTCTCGGAAGGTCTCCGTGCGATCTTTGGGGCGCACCTGACGCCTCGAGTCTAAACGAGCTTCCGTACTCGTCTTAACAGCCGTGCCGTCACAGTTCGGAATGTCACACGGCTCACTGCTCGGTGGCATCGGTAGAGGGCATTTTTGATCGCTTATCTGTAAGACCAAGGCATTACAGTCCTTCCATTAGCTTAGTGAAATAACAATATGTGTCTTTATAAAATATAGAATAAATGGTTCAATAAATTGGTGACATTTAATTTTGAAATCTGATAGATGACTGTTAAGGCAGAAAACAGAACTGTAAAGTTACATCTTCTTTATACAATACCAAATAATAAAGTCGGTACCTTAGTAATTCCTCTAGCATGATCTTGTACACAGCCAACAATTCTGGTACGATGAGCAGGACCGCAGACAGGGCAGGGTCCCCAAGCGGCGGCCCTCCACCTTGGCGGGCAAGGTGCAGTGCCGCAGCGTCTGCGCCGTGCAGGCGGAGAGCTGCCAGAGCAATGTGCTGGCGACACTTCCCGATCTTTATCGCCTACTTCCACGCACTTGTATTTACCAATCTGCAGCCCTCCGCCGCATGTACGCGTACATTGCGTAAACGATACTACTTTCCAGATAAACTTTCTGTCTTCAATAACGTTGCTGTCTATTTGGTACTGGCTCTCTACCGAGGAGAACTCTGGCTGCTTGGCTAGGGACGGTTCAGACTTGTCAAGAGCCCTGGTATGTGAATCGGCATGGTGGCGATGATGCCGTGCAGTCTGATGGTGTACGCTCGTGGTCGGGATGTCGTTCGAAGTATCGTCGGGAGGTGAATCAGTCAAGTATTCGTACTTTATGTTTGGATTTGGTTGCGTATATAACACCTATAAAAAAAATGTTAAGGTTGTATAAACATTGTAATTTTCTTTGTAAGTATTTGAGTGACAATACTGAGCAACCAAATATAGGTCTATTTGGAGTCTTTGAAGGGCCCATGATTTATGTTAGATAGAAATATGAAAAAGAGATTACCATAATATCGATAGATTGATGTACAGGTCCCATGGCGAAAACATTATCGAGACCAGCATTACGTGAGTAGAGAAATCTCGCGCCCGCCGCTTCGTATGTTCCCGGCGCGCTCACAGCGAAGTCTCCGTTTACAATGTAAGACCCATTCGTCACCCTCAACGCTAGAACAATTAAACAACATATTGTATCGTACAACCTAGCGTACAGTAAATTGACGTCTCGAACTATTACGATCTGCGTCATGCAAATAATTAAATACCAATTGCAAAAGCGGCTATCTCCATTTATCTCACAATTTGCGGCGTAGGCGCCTCTATTGAGGAGATGCGCGCTCGGCCGGTGCGAGCCTGCAATTCCGATTAATCGATTCGACATCGATCTTTGCTCTGGCAGGCACTTCATCTCTCTATTAAGATCTCTCGTGACCTACTATGTATCGACTAAATCACTTTAATAATAAAATAATAATGGAACGATTTCTACATTCAATGTAGCTCACCAACTGTTATTACATTTATTTGCCTGAAGCTTTAAAATTCTTTTAATAGACCTTAAAATATATTAATGTCAAATGAGAAACCTGCAAATAGTCAAGCAGAACATAATAAATTGTGTGGTGTATGTACCGATATAATTGTCACTGGGCAGTATCTCGGAGACGTTGAGGCGACAGGCGCCGCGTGGCACGGTGGCGACATGCGAGTAGCCGAGCGGCAGCCGCGGCCGCGTGAACAGCCCCGACACCAGTCGCCGGCCGCACCGTAGCTCGCGATTAGCCGTTGAAGCTAGGACACTTTCGCGGCCCACCACCTAAACACATAATTAATTTTAGATTATTATGTCAAAACTTTAAATTTATATCAAAAGGATCAAGACTAGTTAAATCAGGACAAGGAATACATTCTTATTTCCGATAGGACAGTATACCTTACAATGTATATATTTTACAGCTTCTTAAAGTCTACTGAAAATGTATCAAAATGTCTCTAATGTAGAAATTATATCATCTGTAGCTAGTAGATCATAGGATTGCAGCCACAAATTAGATAACATAAGAAAGATAACACTTCCATAAAATATCTGTAGATCTGTCACAGTAAATACTCGTATAAAAAAATAATATAGGTGAGAAATAAAACAAAGGTAAAGCGCAGTAAAAGATTTTGCAATCAAACATAAAGACATTTGTGTAGTTTAATTTTATTAAACAAATAAAATACCACCCACCTACAACAGACTTTTTCCAACGACAAATCAATTTGCTACGCCTCTCACGACTTTCGAAAAACTTACAAGACGCAATATTAGATTAGTCATGCAAATTTACATGAACTCTCCAGTTGATTTATGTCAGGAATGGTATTGTACGGATTAAGCTGTCAGGATGCTTCACGGATGTCGCGCTTTGAACATGGAAAAGTGGGCGGATATTTTCGTAATTAACAAAATCCATAGCTTTAAATGAGTTACTTATAAGTTAGAAGAAGACAAATGACCAGAATCTAAATAACTAAGCATAAATATTTGCTGGGAAATATTTGACTGTATCTTTAAAATACTCAATTTGAACCTATAACTTTCCAATTCTTTTATTTATTAATTTTTGGATTTATCACTGCTATAATAGTTAGATTCTAGACTAATAATTTAACTAAAATTGTAGATTTGTTATGATCTAAACACCATCTGTTAATATGAACGTTTAAGATAATTACAATTTAGATACAAATGTCGATTCATAGCGCACCGCACGGGAAGTATTTGTGTTAAGAGTTCAATTGCTTTTGTTTATTTATAGAGTCTGATGTTATCTGGCATGTTAATGATTGCGTTAATTGGATTCCAACTGAAGAGTCAGCACAGCGCCTAATGAAACCTTACCGTTTCTGCTCTCGTAATGAATTTGATATTAATTGCTATATGAAAGGAATGTTTTAATTAAATTTAATAAACATTTTAAAAATATTTCATCAGCTATTATAATAAAATAAAATTTCAGAGTAGACTAAGAGCCGTGAAGTAGATAGATGAATTGGTATAAACACGATGTACAAAACTAAAAACTCAGTTTAACAACTAGGCATTGTACTCGTACCATGGTAATGTAGTCATGCCGTTCGTTGGTCACTGATAAAATCTTGGCGAAGGTCCAAAATTAAAGCAATTGTATGTTTGGTCTAAAATATTTTAATATCTATTTTTGTTATTTTGATCTTATCAATACGCATATTTAGTACATTTACTGTAATCCCCAAAAGTAAGACACTGTTTTGTTAAACACGTGTCTTAACTTTTTGACAGCCGGTGATTTATATTTTGGACTTCACCGTTGTTTTAAAATACATACTATTGTAATATACAATGTTTATAATATTTGGTCTTATCTACAGTACTATATAATATTGTATATAGGACCAAATATGACTTAACTACTTTGTTAATATAATGTTTTTCTGATATAAGGGCCCAGATATGAATAAGCTAAAATGCGTTACGTTCCCTTAAAACTATAGATTCTTAAGCCAAACTTTGTAATATTTGGTACATCTGTTAACAAAGTAAAGTTGCTAAGCTTTGAGATGAATTACTGGAAGTGACACTACAATCGAATAGGATTAGAATGGAGCAATCCTAGTAACTCTTCCAGGAATTTCGTTTCATCTCGTACTTATAGTATCAAAGACCACGTAGCTATCAAACGGTCAATCATGTAGGATTAGGAAATAGAACAGACCTTCCTCGTTCTTGTGCTTCTGATGTGGTATTTATTTATATATATGTATGAGATTCCTAACAATTTATAACAAGTCAATTAATAATCAAGGAAGATATGTGACATTAAATATAAGCATTAATATTTACAATAACAATTAAATTCAAACAATACGAGGTTTCTTCTCAATTATATACTTAATTTTCTTGTTTCTATCATCTTCAAAAGCTACGGAATTGGCCGGCTCGCCCGGTGAAATACCACGACCACACAGAAGACAGGCGTGAAGTGGAAGCAATTCCGCGTTTCGTCTGATGAGTGTGCGTCCCGGAGGCCTTATTTAGTCCTCTTTCCCTTCCTACCCTTTTTCTTATAAGGAAAGGATGGGAAGTGTAAGTGGACTTTCCGATAAGGAGATGCATGGAAAGGGAGAATATTTTCTTTCTGTGCATCCTCTCCTCCGTCGATTAAAGGTAGGCAACGCATATGCAATTGCGTATGTCTATGGGCAACGGTCACTTCGCTATTTCAGCGATTTCAGGTGACCGCTCGCTCGTTTGCCACCTTATAATATAAAAAAAGTAATGTATCTAATACAATCATGAACATCTATGGATTTATATTGAATGCGGTAAATTTAATGAGTCAGTTATGTAATTTGCTGTAGCGCTGTAAGATAAGGGTCACGTATTTCTTGATTATAATGGATAGTCTAAGAAATTGCTACTCTGTGGTAGGTGAGCCGAACAGGAATACTCCGCCGTGTCTATACTTCTAACAAATCTATGTAATCCAGTTGAAGTGCCCTGTCTATTCATTCGAATCGTAGTAATTATGTAAACGGAAAGGGGTTTTAACTGACTTCATTTTGTAATTACATTTTATACTTGTTTCTCTTTGTGTCTTAATTTTGATTTCTATGTAAAGTAAAAAGTGTCAAATTAAAAAAAAAAAACAATTATATACGATTGTTCTTAACTTTATTTACATTAAAGACAACAAAAAAAAAATAATAACTAAGGTTTTCACAAGTTTTTTTTTTAAATAAATCGGTAAATATTATTGCTCATTAGTAGGTTTTAAAATTTCACGATTTACCTGCAACTTCATAATATGTCGTCATAACATTTAAACATTAATCGGTACTTAAAACTTATCCCAGTAGTCTAAAACAAATTAATCATTAAGAGATGACATGTGACAAAAGTAAGCGTATGTAACATGTATGTGATTAATATTTCTATTATAAGTCTGACTAATTGATAAATTATACAGTACCAGCATATCCAATACTGGTAATGATGTTTGATATTATGAAGATGTCCAGTATAAATGCTTTGTGGTTCGTCATATTCAATGAGTAACTATAGTTTTAAAATTCTCGGTTCGGTATATGCGGTTTAATGTAGGTAAGGCGAGTTAATTTTTATTATCTCGAACAAGTGGGTAGTTAGAAATCCCTCACCGCTACGATCGAACGCGGGGCCTGCGGGGACTTGTGCGGGGAAGGCGGTGCGGCGAAGTTTGTCATTAATGACAGTCGACAAAATTTGTAAGAAGTTTACACATCGGTCGTGTCGGTTTCCTTGCGTACAGGGTCGCGTAAATTTACGGTACCGCGTTCGGTAATGACGCGTCTTTACCGCTTACGGGAAGCGGTACATCGGGACTACAGCATTGTTGGCCGCTTAAGACTATTTGACAGTGACTTATTTGACTTGTCTGATGCCGAGTGACCAGCTACCTGCAGGCGGTGAACGGAGCATCGAGTTGGTAAGTGCCACTTCATCTATTTACAATATTACGCCTTCACCTGCAACACGTAATCTATGGGCAATTATGCTCGGGACCCAAAGCCATCGTGTACGTCAAGCAACTATTAAAGTGTAAATATCAAGTCAGTTCAAGAAGGGGAACTAAAACGGGTGCTACTAATAAAGTTCTAAGAATACATCTCTTAATTCAGAATGTCGCGAAAACTAGTTCATTTAGTTAAGTGACTTTTTTACGAGTTTTATTAGTAGTGTTTACATTCTTGTGGCGATAGGATTATAATTTTTAAGCCTCGAGCCGGTGGTAATTTGTTCGTGTTAGATGTATCAAGATGTTAAAAGCTTTTTAATGAAAAAAAAAAGATACGAGCCAGTTCAATACAAAAATGCATTTAGCCATAACGCACGCTTACATCATTTCGTAATATTAAATGTGACACTAATGCGTGTAGAACATTAGCGTATAGTAATGTCAATTTTATGAGCCGCTCTGAGATAACAACATCGAAATCTCGCACTGGTCACAGGAGTTGCCTCAATCGACAATCGCAAGGGAACTTTGTTGAATTTTTAAGACGGATATGATTCATACTACTGTGGTGCAAGAATCTGGCTTTTAGCTTGTACCATTACAGTTTTTCTATTATCGAATGTATTAGGCAATAGTAATATCATATAGTTATTTATAATCCAATCTTAATAATTACACAGTGAATATTTTGATAGAAACTTAATGTCCTTCATTCTTTTAGGTTAGTAATTCTCTTTTCATCGTCTTCATTACTGAAGTAATACTCGTCTTGATATGTCTATACATATGCGTCGACTAGTTCTATGACGTCATGTCTTCGGCTTGTCAGGTTAGTAATTCACTCGCTCAAATATCACATAGTTTTTTGTACAACTAATAACGTAATAAGAGTATAATAAGCGACAAAATAAAAAGGAAAGGAATAGCAAAAGAAATAATCTGAAAGTCAACAATGTTTTGTTTACTTTTAGTTATGTAGTAGTTACTTGTGCATATTATTTGTATAGAAAGTTTCAATCGTCAAGCGCTAATGTGATGATTAGTTAAAACAAGAATGCGGGTTAGCACACGAACGATGAATGAAAATCAAGCGAAAGTAGAATTGAAGTAAGAAAATTTAGCAGCAGAGAAATGACAGTTAATTGAGTGAGGAAAGGTTAATATAAAATCGGTGATAGTTAAATTGCCTAATGCCGGAGTAAGAACAAAACATAAGTATTTACGCCCCCATAAAACACAATTATAGGCTACGACCGAATTTGGTCAAGTAGCGATTTGAACTTGAACGTTGACA